CAAAAGCATATACCGAATTCCAAGAGACTCTTCAGCGTAACATATTGTACTTGTGTAACACTCCATGAAAAAGCGTGTTTGGGCTGAACGTATAAAGTATGTCTCACCTGTGGTTTCAGGGTAAAAGAACTGGCCGAGATAAGGTGCGTCCAAACCAGAGGAAGTAAGATGATGTGCATGTCTTGTTTTCTTTTAAGATTAACTCTTCTGCTACCAGTGCAGACTAATTTATCTTTAACATACTGTTTTCCTGGTTTGTTTGCTGCAAGCTGGCTTCTTTGTAACAATACTGTGTTTTTATCAAAGATATTAAGCCAAGCAGTCTGAATATAAATTGAAAATTAATCCAGGGCCTGGAATGCCATCTTCAACTTCAGCAAGTTTTAATATCCATAAAAAACCAAAGGTGGATTGAAGTAAGATTCTGCTATTTTCAACTTTAGTCATGGTAGAAAGAGGCAAAATATCATTGCTTTTTTCCAATAAACTTGTATGAATCATACAAATTTATGTCCTTTCTGTAGTTGCAAAACTGTTTTTGCTCTGGGAATACATTTCTTGGGCTGTTTATAAGGCCAGAGCTTGAAGAGAAAGTGATGGCTCTTCTTGAAGAGAAAATGATGGGTCTGTGCAAGATCCAGAAAGATCTGGACATCGTTTAACAGTGTCAGCTTGAGGGAACAAGACATCTGTCTGTGGTATTGCATTTGGGTGCCTTGGCCTGTGTATGTGTCCCAGGTCCAATGCCCTGCTCTTTGGTTTTGTGTGTGTAAGGCTCTACATCACAAATTGCTCTCCTTATACACCGTTTATCTATCCGAGAGAGCCGTGGGGCTCTTTATTCTGCTGTGGTTAGCCCTGTTGTTGAACAGCATTCCCAGGAGCTCTGGAAATCACTTCTATCCAATATCTGTCCTATTTTTAGTGCTTCAGTTGGCCTTAAGAGAGCATAAGCCTCAAATAGGTTCTCTTCCCTTCTAATGAACAATAAAGCTATTCATCATGGGCAATCCTGGATGCAGAGATGACTGTGTGCTTTTACATTTCATTTGTGCAAATTAAAATGTAATCTTTTCTCTAGAATGTTTATTTTTATCATGCTTCTCTCCTTGACTGTATTTTAACAGTAGTTTTAGTTTTTAGTTCCCTCTCTGAAGTACCTGAAATATGTGAAAAAACAATGTCCCATATGTTGAGGTATTCAAAAAGCTGAGGAAAAATGTTTTTCTAGCAAATTATCTGTTCAGCAAGATATTTCCCATGTGGGTCATAGCAAGAAATTAACCTTGCTGTGTGTGAAGAAAGTTCACAAGTCATCACATGGTATAGAACATCTTTAAACAACTCCGGTGGGCACAGCCAACTACATATTCAACCAGAGGGTGAGATGAAAGCCCACTCAGATGCCATGACATCTGGGTGGATAAGGTTTTCTCCACATGCACACTGAGCCCAGCATGTTTCGAATGTTTTCTCCAAATCTTCACTTAATCTTGTAAGCAAGTGCTTCTTTCCCTGTATCTTCACCCATTGCTTGCATTCGTTCACTTTGTAGATTTTCTGTAGTTTATTGTAAAGCAGTTTTGATGCTTGAAGACATTTTCCTAATCCTTTAGTCATAACCAGAAATCATTAGTTGAGTTTCTGAAACACTGTTGTCTTGCCCCATATTCTAGATAAAGTTCTGTAGTAAAAGGGCAAGGCTAAAGGCTTTCCTTAAATCCATCAACATTAATTATTAGTGATGAGTTGTGACATTTCTGCTGAGCGAAGAAACTTCCATGAATATTATAAGAGATGTTTTAGTTTAGGTTTGTATTTCAGGATGAATTGAATAACATGGAATATACACAGCAGCTGATTATTGAAGGCAGGTAGTTAAGTATTAGATCTCTATGTCATAAAGATGTCTTGCTGTCCCATAAAAGACTTGATGGGCACAGGTAGCATCTGTAATGGCTTGACCATATTTATCTAACTTTATTTCCATGTCCACAGCCTAATTTTTTTCTAGTAGCTCTGAAGTTTTTTTTAAATAGTACTAAGAAAAAGACAAAACTATATGCCTGAGGCAAAGTCATAATTGAAACACGTTGCAGACTATTTTGGAAAGCTCTTAACGGATCATCTGTGAAATGATTTGTTTTGGATTACTATTGTTTCCTTTTTTATTTTCCCCTCCCAGTACATGTTTGTCAGCGTTGAAATTTCCACTATGTTTTCACTAGGACTTTAAGCCAAGAAGCAGTAAAAGGAATTCACATGCTAAATGTGAAAAACCTTTTCAGCATGCTTATGAACAAATGGTCAGTGGCCTAACTGAGGAGAAATATGACCTTTGTTAAGGTTACGATGATTTAATAAGGTCATTAGGCCATTGCACTTTGGGCCCGTGCGCTTTCATTGAGTCAGCCCGGTCGTCCTCCAGCATTTCGTGGACGCCGTGTTCCTGTGTTTTCTTACGTGCGGTTTGCAACAGGGTTCTCTCTTTCCACATGCTCGTGGGCTGGTGTACGGAGATAGCTAAGCACTAGTGATGTGATAACCAGGGTTGTCAGCTTCCCGTCAGCATGGCTCACTCACAGCTGCGTGCGGTCCGACCAGCTCCTGCCTGCCTTAGCCGTCTACCTGGAGCAGATGGCACAGAAGCCCGCCTGACCGAACAGGAGGTACCCGATGTTCTCCTTAAAAATCTACCATGTGCAAAAAGAAATTATCACACTGAGAGTGACATCCAATTAAAAACGATTTAAAAATGGTAAAGGAGCATGTCTCTAGCTCGGGGAATGTAAGCGTTTCCTTGCAAGGGTGCAGAGAGGCCTTGGCTTGGTTCTCTATTATTTTAAGATGCCGCCTTCGGTCCGTGACAGTTTCATCTCACATGTGTTTGATCTGGGCGAGCGCGGAGCTTTCAGCTCTGGGAGCCTGCTGATGAATCTGCCACTCTCTTCTTTTGGAAAAAGTGCTGTTCTCCCCTCGAACCGGGGATTGCAGCAGCGCAGGAAGCGCTCCCTGCCTGAACGGCAGGTTTGGACCCGAAGAAACAAACTGTCTTGGAACAAAATTTCATGATATGTTTTCAAACAGGCTTCCAACAACCTACCCAGTGGGTTTAAAATATAAGAAATAAAACTAGTGTTTTCTATTCAGTGCCTGATTTCAATCTCCCTTACTTGGTGAAAAGGCAGATATTGAAATTGCTTCTTGTATCACAAGAGCAGGATCTTTTATCTGAGACCCCATATGCGAGAGCATCACAAAGACGTGGCCAGCAAAGCTGCTCCTTTAAACCATGTCTTAATCTTGTACAAATAGAGAATATTAGGATTTTTCTTTTTTTACTTGTTTTTCTTATGGCTCAGTCTTGTATTGTGGCCTTGAATGGAGCTTTGTCCCGACATTACAGATGCTGGATTTGTCCTAGCAGCAGGATCTGCTGAGGGGCCATCCTTTGCAGAATCAGGAACTTAGGCTGACACCTGGGACTGGCTCTTCCTAAACGTTTGCACAGCACGTGATCCTGATTAGCATCTCTTTCATACAAGCGAGTAAGAATAGTGGTGGAAGATATTCCGCATTTTAAGCAGTATTACAATTTAAAAAAAAAAAAAAAAGACATCAAAACTGCCAAAATTCAGATCCCTGTGGCAGGCTGGAAGGCTTTCTGCATTTGTAAGGTTGCAGGAAGGGTCATCCACTCTGAATGTGCTTTTCAAGTGACGTGTCGTTCATCAGAGGACTACTTGACATTACTGCCTGCAGTAGTAGAGTGCTGGAGTCTATGAATCGAGTCATCCCTTTCGATCTTATGGTTTTAAACTTGTATGGGGAGGGGAAAGTTTGTATCTTCCAGTGAGGCTGCCAAAGGTATATGCCAGGCCAGGCTTTTAAGGTGATTTATTGTGTGACTTTGAATAAACTTGTAATTTCTATAATTTTCTTTATCTGTAAAACAGTGATAATACTGCCTTTTTGCGGTGCAGTGAGAGAAGTAGTTATCCTTAAATGTCAAGCATATGTCAAAGGCGCAAAGTAAATAAACCATATTAGAGGTTATTTACCAGACCGACACACTAGATAGACGGGGGGGGAAAGCACTTACATCCCAAAGTATTATTAAACCTTCTTGGCTTTGCTTCTGCTGGTGTATGGGATTATTTTGAGAAAAAGAGGGATATTATGTTGTAGCCTGCACTCTGTTTCGGTGAGTCTTACTTTTTTCTCGCCTGTTAACTTTGAGAATTGAAATGCAACTTACTTGAGCAATTACATGGTGTCTCATATGAAAGACTGAGACGGTTGCAACCTTCTGCAAACCAGACTGTCTTGCCAAGGCAGAGCCTTTGTATGTAATATTTCCCTTCTTCCCTTTTCCAGATCAACACTTGAATATCAAAGTTGATTGTATTGCTAGTTTGAAAGTGGCCATGTTCATCTGCACTAATTCTCATGCGCTGTGGGTTTTTTTTTTAATATAGGTTATTTTTCTTAATGCATGTCAAAGATTTCCTAACTCTTGCTATGCAGTGACTTTAAGAATTACATTTTAAAAGAGAATGTATTGAAGAGACTGGTTATGCCCTAAAATACCCTATATAGATTATAGCATGGTATTTTTGAAAAGCATTTTTTGTATTTCAATACAAAAACACCGGATAAGCCTGCTATGGCATGAAAACGTGGTTTGTTTTTTCTTTGGCTTTGGTTTTTGCTTTGATTTTGCTCTCTTAACCAGATAAGTATATCTGCTTTTATCTGGTTATACATGAACACAATTTTCCGCTCTTAATTCACTCAATAATGTCAAAAGTGTTGTTGGAATGAGTCTTTGAAGTGGTGTCTGTGCGAATTTTGTTATGCAGCCTTTCTCCTGGGAATGCCACCTCAGATATGGTCATCTCCAATTCTAACCTTCACCCAGTGATTCATTCTGCCAAGAAAACAGACTGCTCTTCTTACTTTCATGTTTTTGTGTGTGTATGTGTGCGTATGTTCTTCAGAAAGCCAAACTTGGGCCAGCTGGTAACAAAGTCATTACTCCAACAGAAGACAAGAACTCAAGCGTGCCATCCAACAATCTGGACAGGGTGAAGCTGACAGATTTCAATTTTCTCATGGTTCTTGGAAAGGGGAGCTTTGGGAAGGTAGGAATTCTTGATAACTATTCCACTCGTGTTCTTGTTTCTTTTTTTTTTTTTTTTCCTTTCCTCGTGGAAGAATGAATGAGTAATTTTCTAAGAAGCAAAATCCAGAGTCAAGAGGATGTGCATTTTTGGATGAGGATTTCTTAACATGGAGTAGGGTGATTCCCTAAGGACTAGCAGGCTTCAGTCATGATTGGCAGTTTTCTTGAAAAAATGAAAATAAATTAAAAAACCTCAAACCGTTGGGCTTGATGTAAGAAACAGTTGCTGACTTTTAGATGCTCACTTCTTGGCAGTTTCAAGGAAATTAAGTATACTTTTCTGGCTTTGCTACCTAGGTCACTCTGACTGTTCTGTAAGTCATAAACATTGGTAAGGCTGAATATTGGGGAAAAAAACAGGAATTGTACATATGTAGTTGAAATCTGTTCGTCAAAAGAAAGGACTGCTGTTTTTCTGTCTGTTTGAGCAACTGCTTATGTGATAAAGTCCCCTTTACTCGAGAAGTCCCCTGGGACTTAACATTTTATCAGCCCTTTGGCAATGTGCCTCCGATTAACCAGAGGGTTTTGGCACTGGCTTTGTCTGAAATGACTGGTACAGCTCATTGCAGTGGGTGAGTAATGATGATATTTTTGGAGTTTTGATCAACTTAGTTTATAACAATAAAAGGAAAAGCTGGATTGCCATCTATACAAATCTTCGAGCGTATGAGTCACCTTCTCTCCTTGGCAGGTAGGAAGATACTCACCCTGTTGTTTCTCTTTCTGCAGGTGATGCTGGCAGACAGGAAGGGGACAGAGGAGCTCTATGCAATCAAAATATTGAAAAAAGATGTGGTGATTCAGGATGATGATGTTGAATGTACAATGGTTGAAAAACGAGTCCTGGCATTGCAAGATAAACCACCATTCCTGACACAGCTTCACTCTTGTTTCCAAACAGTTGTACGTGAGCTCTGTCTTTCCTGCCACCCTGAAGTTTTCCATACTATATGATCATGGATTTTATCAGTTCAGTAACATTTATTGTCATCCAACGTATGTAAAATAGCTTCTGCACATAGAAAATGGTGAACAGATACCGCGTGTAATTACCCTTTTAATTTTAAATATAAAACCTGGGTTTAAAGATTTTTCTTCGTACAGTAATTTCAAGCAGACCAGTGTGACAATTCATAAATTTAATAATGTGTGCTTTGCTAAGTGAGAGCCTTAAGCCCAGATTCCCAGAGGTTCCTAAATACTTTTAAGGATCTGAGGACAGTACTTGAAAAGTCTTAATGGCTGTTACTGTATTGTGAGGTGATTAGTCTTGAATCGACGTTGATGGAGTTAATTTAGTTTTCTGGCACAGAAAGCACTGGGGTTTTTTTTCTTCCTTCCTTATAAATATAGGAAGTGGACATTTCCCCATCACACTGCAAAACATCTCCCAGCGACAGACTGCAGGATGGATCTGAAGGTCCAGCAGCGCCGTACTGGTCTGTTGGGTGACAGGGAGGGCTGCATGGCAGACAGTTGGCGCTCAGTGTGCTTTTGGATTTGGGAGTGGGCATGGATACACCCTGACACTAGTGAACTGGCTCCAAATGTTCCAAGCTGGGGGGAGGTCTTTAGTCACAAGAAATCACGGCTCTTCTTGTCTCACCTTGTGACAATGGCACGGAGCTAGTGTCCCAGGGCTGGGTTGTCACGTAATGGGGTGATGAAAGGACACAGGTTGCTTTTCCACTCCACTATTCCCTATCTTTTACCTCTTACATTGTTGATGGTTTTTTGTCTAAAAACAAACGAACAAACAACAGGCAGTTACTCTGAAGTAATAACATTGCAATATTCCACAAACAAGCCACATCATCCCGTCACCATTTCATAGCATAACGGTCTGTGTTGTTAGAGGCATTTTCAAACTCGGTTTAATATCTGCAAGTCTCTGAGCTGCAAATGGCCTGAATGCAACAGATTTGCAGACATAATTAATCGCAATAAAACATGAATCTGGGAACTATTGCGCTTGGTAATTCTTGCTTTCTGAAATATTTTTCCTGCCTCTACTTAGAATGTGAAGGTTGTTGTAATAAGATGAGAGAGTCTTTAGTGAGAAATAGAGTTTTATCTCCCTCTGATTCTTTATCTGTATATATCTTCATTAGTAACCAAAAAACTTAGTGTCATCAGTAAATGAAAAACCACTTTGTTTTATCTTTCTTTTGAGCAACTACGTTTTAAATGTAAAATCTTAAAAGTACAAACGTCTAGTGTTCTGGCTGAGGGGAATGAAGGAAAAAAGCTGGGGATTTTAGTGTATATTTTTTGGTTTATCATGTACAAGAGCAATGGAGCTACATAAAGGCCTGGATAAATCATTAACACCTTTGCCTAATTTACTTCATGTTTTCCAAAGTGTTGAGTAGTTTGCACTTGGTGCTATGAAATATTCTGGAGGATTAAGAAACCCACCTGGACATGTTCCTGTGTGACCTGCTGTAGGTGGTCCTGAGCTGGCAGGGGGGTTGGACTACGTGATCTTTCGAGGTCCCTTCCATCCCCTGACATTCTGTGATTCTGTGATTAGTATTAGCTACAAAAATGAGAAACTGTGTATGAGGGAAAAGGCGTAAACTGTGTGACCACAGGAAAAAAATGGTAATTTTTGGTTAGTGCTTTTAGATGCAGGCTTCTATTGCCAAGGATTTTACGATAAAGCAACTCATACAAAAATCTAAATTTTATAAATCTGATCTGGCCAATTAAACATTTTGCCCACGGCTTGTCCGTTGGACACAGCTTAGGAAATCACAGTTTTTAAATGTACGTTAATGTCCTGAAATCTTAGTTTCTAGATGGTTGGAGACTTCCAGTCAATGCTGAAGGAGGGGGATTGAACTAGAGCATCTTAGTCATGAGCCTCTTTCCCATCAGAATGTTGAATCAGAACTTTTCTACAAATACTTCACTATAATGACTCTGTCCAAAATATCTAAAGGAAAATCAGATGAACCAATAATATGTCTTCCATAACTGGGAGGAAGACTATCAATGCATCTGTATGCTTTCTGGATCATGTTAAAACTGCAGGTAGCAAGCTTGCCATCATCTTGTCCGCCAGAATTGTTCATGTTAGGAGGTCAGAATCATCCACCCTAAATCAGAGATGTTTGTAGAGCGTAAGCAATGTATTCTTACTGAAGTTGCTGGGAAGAGCTCGCTTTTAGTCCTCTGAAAAGTGGGGGACAGACCTACTGTTTTAAGTCTTACTGTCTGAATGTCACGGGGTGGGAAAATACAACTTAAGTGCACTCAAATATATTATGGTCGTGTTTGTGATCCCTGGGTATGTCCTTTAAAAGTTCTCACTGTGCAAGAAAAAAATCTTCCTCCAAAATACCTCATTGCCATCTTCCTGTAGCTGAAATATGTATAATAATTAGTACAGAAGTTAATTTAGTGTCACTTGTAAAGGTTCCAGATGCTTTTGTAAATGCTACAATTACTTTTCTTCTCACTTCTTTTTAATTATTAAAAAAAAATCTTTTAATACCTCCCATCTTCCAAATAGAAACTTATTAGGATTAGAAATGGCCTCAAAGCAAGAATTTTCAGTCGTCTTTACATTTTTTTTTACATTTATTTTTAAAGACACAGATTTTTCAGCCGGAGCTAATTGTGTGAGCAATTATGGGAACCATTGTAGACAAATAATATATAAAAGTGTGTCACTAAAATTGGCAAATCGAGACAGATATCATCAGTCATATACTCTTGCCGGTTTTACAGAACGCTCCGCTTCCATTTCCTGGTCTATCAATTTTGCCAGAATGTACAACCAGTCCTAATAACCTTAAAAGCTTTATAATAACATATTAGTGACTTTTTTTTTGCTGATCAATGCATATCTAGTATTTTCTCTAATGTATTTATGTGCATATTTAATACTTTATTCTAGGACCGTCTGTATTTTGTTATGGAGTATGTGAACGGTGGTGATCTCATGTATCACATTCAGCAAGTAGGAAAATTTAAGGAGCCACAAGCAGTGTGAGTGTTCATGTTTATGTATTTAAATCATGTCTTCATCTTAATTTTGCATTGTAAGAGCGTTAAGTTTCTTCTTCCCAGGTGCAGTCTGAAGTCTGGGCGGTTTTGATATTGTGTTTTTTAAGGACCAAAAGCTGAAGTTTATGTTAAAAATGTTCTTTGCACATGTAGACCAAAGGTAGCTGTGCCTTTTTATTCAAAAATACAGCACAAACAAAGGCATGCAATGCCTGCTTTGGAAGTGAGAAGAATTTAAACAAGCCAACAGGAAATTAAAGATGTTACTTGGTATTCTGGTGTTGGTTTTAAAAGTGAATATAAAACAAGAGTGAGTGGAACATTTCAGTCTGAATTAATGTTATAAGGGAAGGCAATGCAAATAGACTCAGCATTGCAATATGAATTATAGTTTATATAAGATAAATTCAATGTATGGCTTACAAGAATTTCTGTGATCCTACCTTTTTATAGAAGTTTTATTTGTAAGGAGTTAAAAAATGATTAGAAGTTGTTTATATCCATGATCCCTTTTAGGTAATTGTACATCTGGCATATCAGTGAGCAACTGATAATGATCTGTAGCATATTAAAATGTGAATAGATCCATCAGTACCGTTTTAGTAATGCTTATAACATCTCATCATCATTTATTAGTGTTTCATAAATCATTTACCAATGAAACTTTAAAATCAAGCGTGACCAACTGTTTTAAGAATTCAGATAAAATAATTTCTTGTTTTGATTTGGGGCTTGTTTAAATGAGAGGCCTTCTAAATATAAGTATTTGAGATCTAGAACAAAATTTCAACAACTTGCTGCATAAAAACTAGATGGTGTCAGATCATCCCTGACTCCCAGCTAATGTAACTTGCCAACACCCATTGAAAACTATGGTGCTTTATGACAGCTTGCGCCTGTGGAGCGTCTTCCAGCAGACACGTTCACAAACACCTCTGATCAAGTGTTTCAGAGCTGAGCTTTCCTTTCCCTTATGCTAAAAATTAATCTTATTTTTAAATAATCTTCTTGCATATAATTTGCACAGTTCCACAGCAACTGGCTTCAAACATCCATCAGTATTATATATCTTTTAACTACATTCAGCAATTATATTTGATATGGTAGTCATTTTAATTAGCTTTATGTAATTAATCCATTAACAGCCTGTATAAAGGAATACTATTTCTGCAAATTATTTCGTGCCATATGAATAGCAAAGTAAATTGAGCTGCACCCTGAATTCAACATTGATATGTGATTAGAGGTTATGACCTTTGCAGGCAGAGTTGGATCAGTGCAGTAAAATGCTGTGCTCCAGCTGCACCATTGTTTTGTGGTCTAGGGAGACATTTTCAGGTTTTTTCTAAATTCTATGTTATTTTATCATCAAATACTTAAAATGTGTCTGTTAAAGTCAAATTGAAGTAAGGTGTCTTTTATGTCATCTGCCTGTCTCATATGTATTTTTGTACTTTAATATATATACACACACGCACACTATATATTATATACTTTATATGCTATTATACTATAATTCTTTACCATGATGCGTTTCCAGAATATTTTGTCAGAAGGAAATCCTAAGGCAATAAGAAATCTGTTGGGTTTTTTTCCCATACAGGTTCTATGCAGCTGAGATCTCAATTGGGTTATTCTTTCTCCATAACAGAGGGATTATTTATAGGTGAGTATAGTCTGACGTAAGTAATTTCTGAACTGTTTTTAAAATTCCGAAAATATCGGTTTCTTTAATGTTTCAGTGCATTTTTAAAATGTTTTCTACAAAGCAGTCGCTGCAGTGGTCTTTTCATTGTGTTGGTGCTGGTGTGCTGGAAACCAAAGCCACTGCTTTCCTGAGCTTTTTGACCTCTGGGCTCTGCCCAGCTCAACTGAAAACTCTTGAAAATACAATGTGTTATCGTCTGCATTCCTGTGTGATGTTTAACAGTGTGACACACTCAGAAGTCTCAGTGTGAGCGTGCTCGTTGTCATATACAGCTCTCCCTTCATTAATTGTCCAGCTTCAGGGCTTGCGGTCGTTCTTGTGTATCTGCAGTGAGGTGCCCAGCTCCATGCAGACTGTAGGCTGCCGTGCATGTGCACCTCTGTCCCCTCCACCCCCCAAACAGCTCCACGTATTCCTCTCCTAGACTCAGTAGATACGTTGGCCCTAGTTGATCCTAAACATTAACATTAAATTACTGTGATTCTTCATAGAGATCTGAAATTAGATAATGTGATGTTGGATTCAGAAGGACACATTAAAATTGCTGATTTTGGAATGTGCAAAGAACATATGTTAGATGGAGTCACAACCAGGACCTTCTGTGGCACTCCAGACTACATTGCACCGGAGGTAAATATTTACCATTTCAAGAACCTTTTGGTCTCTAAAATGAAAACTGTCACTACACACATCTCACACCACCAAGTTTTGATAGCTGTAACTCTGGATACTCTGTGGATGGTACCATTTATACTTCTGCAGTATGCTGAATATATATATTGTATTTAATATTATATTGTATATATTATATTGAATATATATAATATATATTGAATAACTGTGAATTAATGCAATATTATCAATAAGACTTCACTGTTTTAAAAAGTATCTAGTTGACTGAAAACCTAACTTTCTGTGAGATCAGTGCTTCAGGTTTTGTTCATCCTAGTATGCAAAAGACTAAAAAAGCTGCATCACCAGCTTGTGATTTTTAAATTTGTGGCCTGGAAATGTTACTATACTAAACTTTGTACTTCAGTTTGTGAAGTCATAGGGAGTTCATGGATATTGTTGAGGTTGCTGATGAGGTCAGCAAACATTTTACTGGGAGCAAACCTAGCTTCTTTAATGTATTTCTCAATAAATTCACACAGCTGACAAAATAGATATATTTAAAGGATTGATAGGCATTTTTAGATCACAAACCAATCACTGATTTTTGGGAAGGGACTCATGAGGTCTTGAAGCTTTTCGCTCACCTCCCTGCAAAACTACTTTAGTCTTTTCCAGGCCATGTCTTACAAATGGTACATGGGTGTCATGAGTGACAGCTCTTGATCTCAGGAAAGTTCCAGTCACTGAAAGTCTGAACAAAGCTATAAGATCAGGGCTTGAATGGAGTTGACATAATAAATCCATAATTTGCCTTGAGTTTTCTGTGACTTGGTGATACCTGTGTGCTGCATTCAAGCCACTGAAAGTCACGTTCAAATGCAAACCTAACTGCAGTGGGTCTAAAATGAAAATCTGATCATGAGAAGCGCAGTTCTACTTTAAAGCACTGTGATAAATATGAGCTTAGGGCTAAGATATGGTTTGTATTTCAATAGTTGAGGTATAAAACATTAAAAACAAGCACATGTGGTGATTTGGAAATGATTCAAATATACGAATATTAAAATCTGGTATTTGTGCATACTGCGCTTTCAAGAGTCTTGATTTGTTTGGCTGCAAATGCAGTGCGAGAGGCTGTATCCTGATCCAAGATACTCGGTGTTTCACTGAGTGCTGGGCAAGAGGCAGCTCTGGCTGGAACATTTCTGGCTGTAATTGAATGTTTGTTGGAATATGGGAGATTTATACATGGACAAGTAAATTAATGTCTAAGGTGAATTTTGTCATCTCTGTGAAATTGGAATGAAAAATAGTTTGTTTTCTTCCAGTTGCTAATTTTCGGAGTGGAATACTGTGTATTATAAAACCTTGGTTTTTCACAAATTGCTGTTGCTTGCAGCAGGATATCAGAACAACCAGATCACCATTTCATTTTCCTCTGTCAAAACATAAATTAAGCCAATATTACAAATTAAAAAGTGTCCATTCTGTGGTAATAGCCTTGTGCCAGTTAATACCAAAGAATGTGTTGTCAGTGCCAAAATGCTCAATATGGGTCAGTGCTGGAATGATTTGTTTTACTTTGTTTGGAAATGTCATATAAAGAAATAAATGTTTTACCAAAACATTCAATAACTGGGAGGAAATTAGTCTTTCTATTATCTTGCAAACAGTTGGGGTTTTTTGGGGTTTTTTTAGCTGGCTGATTTTCTTTCATTTCTGAAGACGTTCTTGTAACTGATAAATTGCTAACTAGGTCTGTGGTAAACTTCAAAGTGAGGTTCATGTTTTGCTTGCAGGAGCATTTCGGCATGTTTCCATTCCATGGGCTAAAATTTAGAAATTTATAATAGGTTGTAATAAGGATGCATTTGCACGGTACCATTCCCTGCTGGGTGGAGATAAATGAGCTAAATCTAAATAGACTGTTGAGGGTATCCAGGGTAGAATCTGAGTCCTCTTAAACACAGAGAATTGGCTCTTTTCGTCAGTATCTGGGAAAATACGTTGTGACTCTGGTGGGGTCTGAAGGAGCCCACAGTGCCTCTACATGAGCTACCTCAGACATAGCTCAAAAGTGACACAGCTGGAAGGACCACACAGCTCAGCTGGCTTCACACGTACAATCTCCGGACAGAACAGGGGAGTGTGGTGCTGCGTTCAGCAAAGTGGACTTGCCCACTTTGGTGTACTGTAAAATAACGCTTTCTTTTTCGGTGATGGGGAAAGTTAGCGTTGGTTATTGTTATTACGTAGGTGTATAATGCACTGGAATGACTATTCATTTTCTTATCCGATGTGATTTGAGAAATGTGCAGAGGTTAAAGTGGTAGGTTTGACCACTTCTGTCAGGCAGAAAATGGGTATCTAGTAAAGAATGTTTATTGATGTGCTAAATCTAAGTATTTATGGTCAGAGTGGCAAAATAGTTATGAAATCAGTTAATATTTTGTGTTTCCTTGACCAGTCAAGAGAGACAGGAGATGGATGTCAAGAGGATGAGCAGAGAGGGATTATGCCAGCACAGCCCACTGCCTGTGGTGCAGTACTGAACGCCACCACCAGCAGCTAGAGCACTGATTTGGAATTTCAGAAGAATTTAAATTAGAAACTCCGTTTCCCTTCTCCATCTCGTAGCCTCAAAACCTTAAGTTCTAACCTTGCATTTGCTAGGATTGTGGGAGGCTAATAGGTATTACAAAGGTTTGTAAAGTGTACTTATGACTGTTCCTTGTGCTAGTAATATTTATTTCTTTTAATAACCGAGTTTTAACTTTTCTAGTAGGCGTAAGATACGTTCACAAAAGACTTTCTGTCTTGCTGCTGGGATATAATCCTTGCATCCCAACTGGCTACCAGCTGCAAGCTGCAATGATCTAAACGTTCCTACAAATTGCTGGTATTAATCTCTGTGTCCTGCTCTTAACTGTGCCTTCCTTGGAGGCAAAAAGGGGGAAAAGAAAAAAAAGGCAATTGACATCCCTCTGCCAATTTGGCTTGATGAGAGAAATTCCTCCTGAGCTGCTGCTGAGGTCTCAAACCCACGGAACCTGAAAAGGCAGAGCTCTTAAAATACAGTAATAGATAGGTAAAATGGGACAGTTGAAATGCAAAAGGAGGTGAAAAAGGCAATCATTTAAATTAGTGATGGAGAAGGAGGGGAAGGGAAGGGTCTTGTCAACTTTCCGCTCCTCCCTGGCCAGTAGAAAGCAGAGGTCATAGCTGAAGGAGTGTACAGGTCTTCATTTCTAGGCTCATGAACTCCCTCACTGCTCTGCAAGTCTGCTCTGCACACCGTGGTGAGACAGGAGGTCATGTTAATATACCCCAATTTGTTCTAAAAGATATCAAAATTTGTACATGCAGATAGGATTATTTTGGCAGCTGCTGCAAGGCAGCCAGTAATGGCTTTGAGTGCAGCAGCTGGTGGGTAATACATGATGATTTCTGGATGAGGAGGAGGGAACTACTGAAAATACGACGTTTCGAACTTGCTGACTTTGTACCAATGCATGTTTGACTGTATATTGAAAACTCATCTGCTTCCACCCACATGTAATTCCTTCCTTGCAGTGAGTGTTCTTTCCTCTCGTTTACATTTTCCAATTAATGCTTTGAATAGCTCCCAATATTATGAGTGTAACCGCCGGGTTCCGTGCAGTCATGCAGGTTGGTGAATGAACACGGCAGATCGCTTGTCTGTGTTTCACTTGTGTCATATCCTTACCAGCAATAAGCTGGTGATTCAAGTTGCGTGTATTTAGTTAGGATTAGAGGAAAAAAACTTCTGGTGTACAGCAGCAGATGTTGACAGTACCACCTTTTCCTACTTTGCAGTAGTTTCAGTGAAAAAAATGTTTTCACTGCATTTGCAGTGAGACTTTTCTGCAGTGGGGCCTTCCCAGTCCCAGTGAAACTTGATGTCCGTATTTATTTCTCAAATCCCACTCTCATCATGAGACTGGTTCAGGCAAGGGAGGTGTGTGCCAGCTCAGAGGGGACACTGGTCTATTAGTCAGATGCTTCCGCTGATGTTGACATGTGGCATCAAATAGGACAAAAATTCTAGTGACTCTCACCATATGTTAGGTTAAATGTAGGAGCTTTTTCCATGTTAATTCTGTCTCGATGGTTCTGCTTGATATTCTCTCACAAAGGCAGATTTAATTGGGGCAGGTTACATTTGCTGATGAGAATGCTATTTAGAGAATGACCCAGTCTTGACTCACCTCTTGCTGGATAAACAAACAGCGTGACTGGGTCCGTGCTCTGTTACATCCTTCGTTCTATGGCATTGCATTGCCAAATTTAAAAGATTTCCTCTCCTCCATAATCCCATCGAACTCTTTCACAATAGAAAGAGAAGTAGACTGTGGCCCCCTGGACAGACCTGACTGCCAGGCTGAGAACCGTGGCAGGGTAGCAGCATTTTCTTTCTCACTGCTATGGATCCATCTTTTTCTCATTTGCTAATTGAAATAAACTGTTTGTACCAAAACCACTTACATGAAGCTCACTTATTGTACAAAATGTTCTGTCCTTATAAATTAATGACCTGAAAAATACTCCTTTTTTTTTTTTTTTTTTAAAATAAAACACTCTTTTCCAGAAGGCAAGGAGAGATTGTCAGAGAAGGGTTGAGGGTGAAATATTTTATCATTTTCTACAGATAAAAGCCAGTAATTTTTCTGGATAAAATTTTGAAAGTGTTTGGTCTTTCAGGAAGCAACATTGATTCCAGCAGGCCTCTGGGAACTTACTGGTGGTAGAAGTTAAAGGGAGAGTAACCAAGTATGTCAACCACTATAATATGAAATGCATGTCCCAAATATATGTTTTTAAAGCCCATATTACTGCTAAAAGACAACTAATAAAGATTGCCTTTAGGTAGGACCTTCCAGCTGAGAATCTTGTAATTACCTCTGGTTGTCTAATGTATTTCAAAGTGCAATTGATTTTAAAATCCTTTGCTTAGAAACATTGCAGTGATTTTTCATTCATGTGCTGCTGTTATCCCAGGGAACAACATATCTATATTCGCACAAAGACTATGATTTTATTTAGTAGCCAGGCAGTCCTGCTTTGTTGAACTGGTGACTCACTGTTTTCCTGAGAAACTACAGAACTTGCCAGTTCAACTTCTCTTTCAGACAACGATAACAATCTAGGATATGTGATGTGTACTTGTCTTAGCAATTTGTTTCACAAAGAATAGAAACACATGGAAGCAG